CCCCAAAACCCCAAAACCCCAAAACCCCGAATAGCTCAAATTTTGAAAATCATAAAATTAAATTTTATATTAGAAAAAACAAAGTGATTATTTTACTGTAGATTAATAATTTTCATCAAGATCAACCTCAAATAAATCTCTAAGAATGATAATTCTTCAAACTAAAGCTTTCACCAAGATCAGGTGAAACTTCAACTAAATTTGTGAAATAATCAAAGAGAGTCTGTCCTGTCTTCTTATTATCTTCTTAATCATTAACAATTAAAGTGAAATTGAATGATTCGACACAATTTATCAATATCAAATATGCCCCGAAATATGGCACCCAATCATTTCCTGCACAATACATTTTTTCTAATTTGATATCTTAAAGTCCTTCAGCTTAATAAATAGGGTTGAAAGGGTATTTTCCAATATTTGAGAAGTTGAAATTGCTTGTAAGGCCTCCATTTTGTTTGAGATTTTGTTTATACTCATCTGAATCCCAATTAAACAAGCTGTTAACTGTAAGATAGGAGAATTGATCTTCATTCAATAAAGATTACTTGATTTATTTGTGAATTTATCTTGCGAATTCCCAGAATTAAGTGTTTTCATCCATAGAGATATTAAGTTGAATAACTCCTACAAGCATGCCTATATTTTTAAATCCAAGTTTATTGATGAATCTATCTCTCAGATTTACATCAATATCAAATTTCAAATCTATTTTATATTCCCCAAGCATTTTAGAGAGGCCGAAGTAAAGACATGAAACTAGAACTGATCCAATTGTTATCTATTCGCTTCTACATTTTTAAACTAACTTCAAGAAACATTCTTTAGAGCTATCTCTAAATTAAGGAATGTTTCTGAGTTATCTCTCTGAATGTACGAATGGAAGGGAAGGCTTCCAACTATTTCTAACTTTTTATGTGTTTATTAAAATTTCTTGTATTCTCGATTCCTGTTAAGGATTCAACCCATTAGGAAATGCAAGGTCTTAAGCATGTGGAATTGGCTAAATTACTTCAATCTTTTTAATCTCATCATGTTTTTATTGTCTAATGAGATTGTAAATGTTTAATAATCCATTTATGAGTATCATTCCACTCACTCCATCAGCAAAGCAATGAGGGTATCCAAGCATTACTATACTTTTTCCCTAGGTTTATAATAAATTCACAGTTAGAAGTACTTTCGAATAATCCAAACGTAGATTTATTATTTCAGTCTACTTTTCTTATAGTAATTTATCGTCCTCTATAATGAATTCCTAAACTAAGTTTATTTATTTATTGGCTAGTTCAACCCAGTAGTACTCCCCATCAAGGCATTACTCTACAGTCATTCCTAACATTGGATTCTTTTCTATTTAATAATTCACTGCTTCTGTGAGCATTTAAGCATCTATTTTTTCTCCTAGAATATGGCAGCAATTATTGACACAACCAGTTTCTAAATAGAAGCTTTTTTCCTATGACCAAAGCTTTCTAAAGATTCTTTTTTCCTCAGGACTCTCAATTTTTTCCATTGGAAATTAATGATGATTATTAGTATATTTACTTACATATTGTAAAAACAAGCTAAGATCAATTATTTATTTTCAGAAAACTATTTCACTAACAATATCAAGTAAATCAATAATTAAGGGGTTTTGGGGTTTTGGGGTTTTGGGGTTTTGGGG